CCCCTCCTCAGGTCTCCTGACCTTCCCCGATGGGTCCCATGGGGTGCCCCGCAACGAGGGCTTCTTCGAGAACAACAAGCTGCTGCGGCGGGAGAAATGCCCGGCTAGGGTGCCTCCAAGTCTGCCCACAACCTGACAGCGTGATGGTGCCCCGTGTCCCCTCTCACCACAGCAGGCAACGGGCACTGGCTGGCCCCGGAGAAGGGACATGGCGCTGCTGGGTGCCACCCTGCTCTCTGTCCCCACCAACTTCCCCACTGCCGAACGCCTGTCGCTGTGTGGGACGTGGCCTTCTGCTCCCCACCCAAGTGCCCCGGGGCAGCCGTGGTGCCTTCTCTCTCTGGCTGTAGCTCTGGCACCTGCTGGAGCAGAGTGGGGACAGGGTGTCCAGGGCTTGGCCCTTCTGCCCCCCGGGAAGGCTGTGGACCTCCAGGGCTGCTAGCCTGCTGCAGGGATGTAGTAGGGGTGCAGGGGCTGGGGCTGGGCCCTGACCCCACTGCCAGGGTGCCTTGGCCAGGGGCTGCTGGCTGGACCACATGCCCACAGAGGGGCAGCTCCTGGCCTGCTTTTCTGCCCTGGTCCTGAGGCAGGGTGGGCACCTCATGGCCTGCACCTTGAGCTCTGGGTGATGGGTCATCCCCCTGCATGCCCTTGGGCAGGGTGACTTGGTGCCTCTGGAGGACCCAGCCTGCTCTCAGGGCCAGACGATGGGCTGTGTCTTCCTCATCCCTGTGCCAACCCAGCCCACCCACCCACTGCCTTGGGAACATCTGCAGCAGCATCCCCACCAGGGGGGACCCAGGAGTGCCCAGCCTAGCCTGTGTCTGCTGCGTGCTGGAGGAGGGCAGGACTGATGGCGAGCAGGGAGCAGGATCTGCTGGAGCCCTGGACAAGGGACATGAGCTGGGGTGCCAGGGCTGGAGCAGGAGGCCAGGATGGGCAAGGACGGAGGCATGGCAAGGGGGCAGGCAGGGTAGGCAGGGGGCACAGAGCTCCTCGACTTGCCCCCTGCATGCATCCCTCATCTCCCTGCTGTGTGCCCACTTTCACGCCGGTGCAGTCTGGCTGGCTGTGGCTGGGGGTCCCAGCAGCCCTCACAGCCCAGCGGTGGGCTGCAGGGGCCCTGCCCCCCCTGCCAGCCTGTGCCAGCCCCGGTCCTGTGCCTTGCCATGACCCTGCCTTGCACTGCCGCCTGCATGGGCCTCAGCTGAGTAAACCATGTTGCCAAAAGCCCAGGCCGTGTCCTTTTTCCTGGGAGCAAGGACCATGTGGGGGGCTGCGCGTGTGGGCAGGACTGCAGATGCAGAGAGGGGCCAGCAAGTTTATTCCTGGCTCACGACACTGGGATACATCCCTTCCTGGGTGGGGGCAGTGGAACTCCGGGGGCTGCCGAGGCCAGGTGCATGCCCAGGCCAGGGGACATAAGGGTGGCCAGGGGGTCCTGCATGTGCCCTCCCACCTGCTCTGCCCAGGGCAGCCCTGTCCAGCAGGAAGAAGCAAGATGGGTGGCTTTCTCCTGCCCATGTCCTGATGGCCTCCACCACGTCCCCAGCTCCTGGGGTTGCTGGCTCCTCAGCCTTCCCAGGGTGGGAACCTCTCACAGCCAGC